AGAATAAAAAAATTAAAAAAAAAAATATATATATATCATCACTTCACCCCCAAGCTTACTGATAACAGTTGTGTAACTTTGATAAGTTACTTAGTTTGCTACACCTCAGTTTGTTCATGGAGTAGTAACCCATCTCTTAAGACCATTGTGAGGACAAGTTGAGGCAACACCTCACATTGTTCCCGACCCATAGTAGGTATTTAATAAAGGGTTATTCCTTTCCAAAGTGTAGCAATAAAACTGTTAATAGATTATGTGCAGACTAATACTTGTAATCTAAAATACCATGTAATCTAAAACTTTTTCAAATGTGCATTTAACATCTGTTGAACTTACATATTCAGATTCTGGAATTGGATAGTCAGGTGCCACATCTTAAAAGCGAATTAGATCCTTTTCTCCTGGTTTGCCACTTACATTTATAGGGACTCATTGGATAAATTTGTCCCACTAGTTTGTTGAAAAGATGGTTTTAGTTACATTTTTTAAAAGTTCTAAGTCACTATTTCAGAGTTCTGTTTGATCTAAGTTCAGTTTGGCTGTGCTCAAAAATGGAATGGGGTTGGACCTATTCGTTACAGGTTTTAAGATCTAGGATTGATTGATTTTAAAATTTAAGTATGGAAATTTTCTAATATTTACAAAACTGAAAAGTGTAATAAATCTCCATGTACTTATCTAGCTACCACCTTAAATGATATTCAGATTAATATGGACACTTAAATGATCTTTGAGAAGATATGGAACTAACTTGTCTTGATTCACTAATGAGTAAGAGTTAAAGATTCTGATTTAATAATAATTTAATTTGAATTCCTTCAATCATTATTTTATTCATTGATTCATGCAACAAAATTTATTGAGGGTCAGCTTTGTTCATTAGTGCCTTATGGCTAAGAGCCTTGCCTGATTGCAAATATCAGCTTTGCTACTTACTAGCTGTGTTGCCTAAGGCTAATCAGAGTATTCTAAGCTTCAGTTTCCACACTGGCAAAATTAAGATAGTACTAGTATCTACCTCATAGGCTTGTTAGGAGAAGTAATTGAGATACATCGGCTTGCTCAGTAAATGTTAGCTGCTGTTATTATAAATATCATTTCTCCTTTTCCTCCTCATCTTTGTCTTCCAGAGTTTATGCTAGGTGTCCTTGGAGAGTATGAGAGGATTAAGACATAGACCTTCACCTTGAACTAAAATTCCAAAATCCCACAGTATTAGAGCCAGAGGAGATTTTTAAGATTCTCTAGTTCGGCAAACCCAGAGAGCTTTAGTGAATTGTCCAGTATCACAGCATCTCTTAGAGGCAGAGCCAGGCCAAAGCTCAGGTCCTTTAGCTGTGAATGCTCTTGTTACAGAACGGCTGCTCTGTTGGTTTGACTCTGCCCCACTCCTTAAACCCCAGTCCTTCTAAACTGGCAGTCCTGACCTGACTGTTTTCCAGGACTCTCTGCCTTTTCAGTGTGCAAAATCAAAGTATATGTGAGGCTTTTTGCACATATCAGATCTGAATATGCCCTGGACACTCTCTCCGTAAGATTCCAAGGAAGACTTGCTAGGGAAGGTAGACAGGCGGTGTCTCTGTGTAATTACAAAGATGTTTTTATCTTCCTCTTGTATCACAGCCCAGGAGTTAAAGTCACTGTTTGAAAAAAAGTCCCTCAAAGAGAAACCTCCAAGTTCTGGAAGGCAGTCAATATTATCTGTACGACTAGAGCAGTGCCCTCTGCAGCTGAATAACCCGTTTAACGAGTATTCCAAGTTTGATGGCAAGGTAAGTAAAAATAAAACTTTGTCTTTTTAAATAAAACCTCAGTTGAGTGGAATTGTTTTTGTTAGTGTTGTTATTATTAGATTTAAGGTTTCAGAAACGACTCAAAGTAATTATAGAATGTCGTTCACACTTCTATGACCGAGGATGTAAAAAGGTCTGAATTTGGGCTTAATACTGTTTCCACAGCAGTATGTTTGGGGGATTAAAACAAAAACAGTCTTGAGATATTTGGACATGTATTTTTTTTCCCCGTTTCATCTTCGAAGTATACTTGAGGATTTGGGTTGGTTGGGTTGTGGTTAATCAAGGCCTGATTGTGTTGGGAAAGCTTTGAAAGTGGTTCCGGGGAGGCAGTTTGCATTGTCTTGGTCTGATTCTTTATTGTAACTGTAGAAATTGTTGAGGTTAGAGCTTCATTTCAGAATTCTAGGCCGTTGTTTTTATGTCAGTATTTCATGGTAGGGAATCTTGTTTGACACTCGTTATGCAGGATGACTTAATTTTTTTGTTTGTTCTAGTAATTTGCAGTTTAAAAATTAAAACGTGTCTATTTTCCTTTTAGAAAAATGGCCACTATTCTAGTGGCCTGCCTTCCTGTGTCTCTGCGCGGAGCTGAGCTGGGCTTCTTTCAGGAGACAGTAGCAGTTGATTTTTATATTTATTGCCATTATATTTGCTGTCTGGCAGTGGCTTGGGGGTGCTCAGTGATAGCTTGTTGCCTGGAGGGGTTGTGTACAATTTGTCTTATTTTAACACCACTGCAATTAATAAGCATACAGGCTCTTTGCTTATGTTTGCATTTTTTTATATTCAACTTCTGGTTATGTACTGGTTCTGTCAGTTGTCATCTTTGAGCAAGGAGATGTTTTCTCTTCAAAACACTTTTACCTCATAAGGTTCAGCATGTTTCCATATGTTTAAGGAAGCTTATATGGCCATGGGCAACTGAGGTTATTGATGTTGGTGGGAAAGGAAAGCCAAGAACTAGAAACAAAATGTATAAGTTACATAAAGATACTAATTTGCTCAGGAGTTGCCCCCCAAAAAATCTGAAAGGACTTTTAGTAAATGAGAGATTGTATTGTAAAGCTTCTCTTTAGCCTGCCCCTACCAGGACTCCTGTTTCTTCTTGTGGAATGTAGCAAAGAGAAGGAAGGGTCCCCCTAGGGGACAATAATGTCAGTCTCTGGAAAATGGAGAGTTGGACTGTAGGATTTGTTTTTTAAATACTACAGTTGATTCATTTAGATATGTTTGTGAGCGTTATTATTGGAATTAGGTTACACGGCTGGAATTTATTTGCTTCCGTTGTCTGATACCATCTCATTGTTTGAGGACATAATTGCTGGAATAATTACTATGTAAAAATACTTCGATGCCAACAAAATAGCACAGATCTTTTAAAATATTATGTCCTAGAATTCTTATTATACCATTAGATTTTATTTTATAAATTGCTTAGCTTTGGATTTGACAGAAAGTTATAAAGTGTCCTTGGTATGTATCTAACTTTTGAAGTGCCAAGGAGAAATTAAAAAAAAAAAATGTGAAGAAGCCATTTCCTCAGTCACAAAGGACTTATTTTTACTAGATGTGGTTATACTTAAGGCTCTCCATGCTTTTGTCATATCAAATCTATTTGTAATCAGCAAAGGATATGTGCATGGAGCAGTCACCATTACACTTGGATTAAGAAAGATTTATATATCGATAAGTCTATCCCATGATGTGATGCTGTTTTATTATTATCCTCCATATTACAAATGCTAAAATACAATTAAACTCTTGTTCTCATCTATTATTTAATATTGATGCGTTTGGCAGATGTGTAATGAAAGTGGCTAATATTTGAAGGATATTGTACTGTACATATTAAATTAGTCTTTCTTTATCTTTGTGAAATGCATCAATATGATATTCAATGACATCTCAATGATTAATAGAGAATTATACTTGAGTCAAGCCTTTTTGTAACCTAGAAATTAAAATGACTATTCAAATAACACCTCAAAATGATCAAATTAGCATTTTGTGATTGCATAATAATGGGATTGTAGTAGTTATAACAGCACCATGGCTGCCTCTAGAGTTAAGATCATGTCAACCCCTTGATAATAAAGTCTTTTCTGTGAGAGTCGACTTTAATAATTTCCAGATTGATTCTTCCCTTAAATTATTTGACGTTCAGCACTAAATTTTTGTTACTGTTGTAACTTAAAATTATTTTATTTTTATTCAGCTCATATTTAAGAAGTGAAATGAGTGACCTATTTTAATGATTCACCATCTTGTCACTGAACTCCATGCTTTTTGCCTCAAGTATAAGGGTTTTTCATGGACTTTGATAGTCCCTTTTTTTTTCCTGCAAAGGTTTGTTAAAGCCACTAAAATATGTATAGAGTTTTCCCGTACAAATATTCACAATGCTTTTCTTGGGAATAACGCTTGCCTTATTTACATAATTAACTGAGTTGCTTAGGTCTCTTGGGCAAATGATACATAATTGGGGAGAGAAGGGGACAGGGAAGAGTTTGGGGTCTAATTAAATATGCTAAAAAACTACTTAATTATGTATTTCCTCAAGAGACTGACGGCTGTGAAATCCTCAAGATTAAACGTTAGATTTGAAAAAAGGTTTTTGTTTTTGGTATGGCTTTACAATTACATTGTAGGTAAGCCAGCATATCTAGTGTCTTTAATGGTTTCTGCAAACTGGATTGTTGTTGGTTTTAGTGATTCTAAGGGTAAGCATCTTTTAGCTATTGTGCTAAATTAAAGTGAATACTTTCAAATAATTTGTGGTTCCTGTAGCAGGTTAATAATTTCATTTTTAAAAATAATTGTTGATTAATAATTTCTTAGAGGCATACAGTTGAGAGGGAAAGGTTGTGCTTAGGCATGTGCTTTGTTGTAATTTCAACAATTTTTTGGATTTGGTTTATTATTATGTTTATATTATCTCTTTGGTAAATTGGCGATGCTATCTGTGGCCTGTTTTAGATTCAGTAACTCTGTTTACTGATCATTTGAAAAAAGTCAGAAAGAGATTGCAAGTGGTTTTAGGGAATGCTTGGTCACACAAGGCAAAACCAGGCTCAGCCATCTGCCTGCATTTTTTGGGCGTGTTGAAAACAGGACCTCAAATAGCCTAATTAACAAAATCTCTGTTCTAGAGATTGAGATAATCCGAAAACTTCTTGTGACAGTCCTTCTGATTTCACTGTATGTGGGAGTTGGGTGTGACAAGGAGTTGCTTTGAGGTGATGAGGGAGTGGGCTCTACTGCTAAGTGAACACTTATTCAGCACTTAAATTTAAGTATCCCCAAATGTGTGGCTTTCTGCCCAGTCTTTCTACCTGTTTCAAGTGAGGTCATGTTTTTGCAAGTATCTAACCCTTTCCATTCCATACCTTATCACTTAACTTGAGAAACTTGCTAGTACATCACCACTATTCTGGTTAAACTGAGTTTGCAAATATTATCATCATTAGTAGACCATTCGAATTTTATTTTCTTTATTTATTTCAAAAAAGATTTTATTATTTACTTGAGAGAGAGAGCAGGTGAGAGAGAGAGCACGAGTGTGGGGGCAGAGGGAGAGGGAGAAGCAGACTCCCTGCTGAGCAGGGAGCCCAACTCGGGGCTCAATCCCAGGACCCTGGGATCATGACCTGAGCCAAAGGCAGACACTTAACCAACTGGGACACCCAGGCGCCCCTTATTTTATTTTTTAAAGTAGGCTCCACGCCCAGCTTGGAGCCTGGTGCAGGGCTTGAACTCACAACCCTGAGATCAAGACCTGCGCTGAGATCAAGAGTCAGCAGCTTAACTGACTGAGCCATCCAGGCACCCCCATTAGAATTTTAAATACCCATTTCCTGTCAGTAGAGTTACTAACAAAGAAATGATATTGATTATCTGTTGTGACATCTTGGTCAGGTTTTCCATCTCTCCAAACCTCAGTTTCTTTACCTATTAAAGAAATGAGAGTTCCTTCCTCACAAGGCTGATGAGACCATCAAATAGGATAATAGTAGGATAGAGCACCTAGCACAATGAGAAACAGTGTAATTTACTTTGTGACCTATTTTGTATTAAGACCTGAGTTTGAATCCTGGCTCTACCCCTTAACAGTGTGACCTCAGGCTAGTTACTTAACCTCATGAAGCTCCAGTCCTCATATGTGGGTTGAGATGATGATAATATATCTTTCTCATGAGGATTAATTGAGATAAGGTCTGTTTACCAAGACATGTAGCACATAATAGGAAGCACTCAACAAATATCCCACTTCTGCCCCTCTCTGTAAAGGATGAGGGCCAGTGATGCCATCCCTTCTATGTACTTCATTAGATTATTGACAGGATTGAGTGAGAGGAAATGTGTTCTTGAAACCACAAGTTTAGAATAGCATCGTTAAACAAGATGTGCAGCAGACTGGGTGAAGGTCTCTCTCAAGTCCAGCGAGTTCAGGAGGTTTTAGCCTTTAACTTTAAATAGGAAGATTGAGTCAAGTAATTACTCTCTTTTTTTTTTTTTAAACATCATAGGAGAAGGTAGTTCAGTATTAGTCATTGTTTGGCAGTTTACTAAAATGTTAAATATTTATTTGACTTAGCTAAATTCTACTCTAAATATAAGGAGAATGTTTGCCTTAACAAGTGCTTAAAAAAGCAGAACCTGTTCTTGTTCATATAGACAACTGTGACTTTGATTGTGTTAACTTATTAGAAAGTAACCATTTCTCTGTTAGAAACTGTTTTAACTGAAGCTGCAGAGAGCATGGGGGAAGGGATAATTCATGAGTGCTAATTGCTTGGCTGTTAATTTTCATAAGTGTTGATAGAAGCAGTTCCTTAAATTAAACTTTGTTTAAAATGTATCAGGGGAAATATTCCACAATGTCGAGCCTGAAGTGAAAATTAATATGAATGCTGTGGCAATTAACACATACTGGTTAATAGCTTTTAGCAGCATTTTGGGATGATAGTCCTTAAATA